TAGATCATAAAACAAATTCATGTTTGGTGTGTAGGTCACTCCAGAAATTTTTCAATTTTCCTCTCCACATCATATTTCACTAACGATAGGCAAAATCCGAAGATTTCTTCTGTTCTAAAATAAGATTTGTGCGCTCTACATGTGTAAGCTTTAACTTGACGGTTTTCTACAAAAAAAAAATTTCAGTGAATTTGATCACTCCATATTTCATATTTTTCGAAATAACTGAGGACAAGTCAATGCAGCGGGAAAGCTGCAAAACAATTTTAGACACAGCCAACTTTCGAAGAAGGTTAAAGTTATCAACCTTGAACTGTTCATACTTTCTTTCAATTGACATAGAAAATCCACACTTTCGCAGTTTTTGAGTGTCAATGAGAATACGAATTCGAGATAATTTTTCTGCAGAAAGAGTGGCTTTACATTACTCTGCTTATCTGATGGCTGTTTGTTGTCTCTACAAAACTTGTTATGCAAAGTATACACTGGGAGATTGTTTACAAAGTTACACTAAAAAAACTTAAAATCACACTGCGATTTCCTGCAACTTCAGCAACGCTTTTGAAGATTTGGTTGCAGTTCTGGCCATAACAAAGGAAGCAATGCTGCTCAGATGTATCCCATCTTATCTTATGCTTCTGTAATCTTGACTTCAACCAAAACAAGATAAAAAAACAGAGAACTTGTGCAGTGACCAAATATTTCTTGCATGACCATTTTTGACTGCGGTGACGGATCTTATTATCCCGATTAAAATGCAGTTTCACTACTCATCTCTAACTTTTCGCTTACTTGGGCTAATACGTTAGGCTGCGTCCGAAAGTGCATTTTGAAAAGCACGAAAACAGCAGGAAAGAGCCTTTTCCTATACCCTTCATTTGAATCTGGATAAGTGGAGCTCCCAAAACCGGGACGCAGGTCGGTATGGAGACAGAGTCACCTCATCATCATTACTTCAGGGCCTACCATGTGCACTCTAGCTTGCAGTTTGAAACAACAGTTGAGCAAAGTTTTCCCCTTTGGGCATAAGTCTCCCCAATTTCCAAGAGACTTTTCACTTCTGTTTCAAGTTATGACTTCGCACTTGTGCGAGCAAGCGTCCATGGGCTTCCACTTCCACATGAAATAGGTATCATATATGCAAATCTTGCCCGAACACTGCCTTTAAGCTCATCGCAGTTCGCATTTGCACTTCCCGCATGTCGCTCCAATAAGTGAGGAAGCCAACTAAGCTGGCGATTGAAGACAGATGTCCACCAATAGTCGCGTCTTCGCTGATTCCAAATCTGCTTTACTTTCTTTGCAAAATTTTTTCTCCTAGAGAAGTCACATAATATCCATATTTGTCAAGCTGTGAGTGGTAAATCAGCGAAACCCCTAAAGGAACAGCTGAAAGTGGGTCAACTTTTTATTATGTATAAGAAGACTACAAAGAAAGAACATAGCAGTAGAAATCCGCATAGGATCTTGTAGAAATTTTGTGATTTTACACCACTTGATGCTTTACAAAATTGAGAAAGTCAAACTCTCATAACTTCTTTAGGAGACTAGTTCCGACAAAGGGAAAGCAGATTCAACATTAGCACTTGGAGGCGCGTCTAGTGAC